GATTTAAAACATCATTTTAATTTATTTTTTAAAATAAAATTCAATTCAGTCATATCAAGATAAATTACACACATGTTTTTACCCATCAACATTATTAACATTTATAATGCAATTTACAAAGTGCAAACAAATTTTTATATAATTATTATTATTAATTTACAGTATTTATTAAAGTTATTAAATTTTAATTTAATATTTTTTAAATGAAATATTACACTGTATTAATTCAAATTTAAGAAACACTTCAAATTTTAGATGCATCAAAAAGTCAAAAAAGTGTACTTCAAACTCGAATTAATATTATATTTTTATTAAATATACATAATACAGTATTTTATACTTATTATATATAATATATGTATTTAAAAAATACAGTATTTATAGGATAAAATCAGTAGTATTAGTTCAATATCCACCGATTCCCATAATAATATGACCAATATCAGATATTTCAGTCTCATAAATTAGACACAAGGAGAAAGAATAATGAATAATATATTTAAATATTGATGCTTCTACTTATTAATCAATGAAATTTTTATTACTATTTGTAGCATTTATGATATTGTTATAGTAACATGTGTAAAATTTATATTTTATGATCCATATTTATGATATATTATTATAGGCCTATATAGTATCAAAAATTTGGAATTTGTATTATTTATTTTTATCAGGGATGAATCAGGAAATAAATCTGAGAAAGAATGATTTTTAATTCGTGTTTTTTTATATATTTTTTTAATAATCATTACATAAAACTTTACTGCCATTTTATAAGGGAGATAAATTCAAAAAACTATGATACACTCGTAACGAAAGTTCATGTTAACAATAAAAATTCTCAGTGTTATAGCTCCATTCGCCATCCCCTGGATCTGCGCCTGAAGGATATTAATTATCAACAAAAAAAATTGGCTGTGGGCACTTCGTCTATTTTTTCCGTTTATTTGTTTGCCTGTTTGTCTGGAAATTGATAAAAGTTCTGAGATTTTATTAAAACATACAATTGAATTATTAGCGAGGTTGAGGCCGAAGTTTTAAACGCGAAAACGTGAACGTCGAACGTCGAGCGCCGCTATCTTGTAAGCGGCGCTCGACGTTCGACGTTCACGTTTTAAAGATGAAAATTTCGGCCGCAACATCTCTAAGAAGAATTGTAAATTAATTTAACCATTATTGAATCACATTATATAACCGACATAATACTTCATTTTTAAATAGATTCAATCTTCTTTCGGAGACTCTTTAGTGTCAAAAATGATGGATAATCTCAAACTTGCAATATTCTAACTGAAGAAAACTTAAAAACTATATAAAATTCTTTAGACATGATTAATTATATTGAACGAAAATATTTTTATATTAAATATTTTATATTCGGTATTATTAAATTATTCATTATAGATAAAAAAAAATTAAGCTTTTTGTTATTTTATAATAATTATTTAAAAAACGTTTTTATATTTTTAAAGTGTCATAACAGATGACGACTTTAAATGTTGCCGAGAAAGTTAAGCNAAACAAAAGAATCAGACAGAACTGAAAATACAAAGAAATGTGAGCTGAAAAGTTCGTGCTGAAGAGGTATCTTCAGCACGAACTTTTCAGCTGTAATGTAAAGATAAGAAAATTCTTGTGAATGAAAAATTTCTTAGAGAAAACTTTTCAGCTATAATGTAAAGATAAGAAAATTCTTGTGAATGAAAAATTTCTTAGAGAAAAAGCTGAAAAATTTGGGCCATGCCAGATTGAAAGCAAGTAGCGTGGCTCGTTAAAGAAATCAAAGAACATGTAACTCTTCTTTTGGAAACGAATATGACAGGTAATGAAAAATTGTCATCATCATTCATTGGAAAATCCTTAAAACCTCGATGTTTCGGCAAGTCAAGACGTCAGAGTTTTATTCTAACTGGCTGAAAAAGCTAGACATTGGAATGATTACTGAAAATAGAAAAATGATTTTTTTAAATCAATAGTTTCATGTATTTAAGTCTAACTACATTGTTTTTATTTCGATACTTACGATCTAATTAAAATAATGGTAGTAATCGATAACACTTCGATAATACGAAAATGTTTTTCTGCTCCTTCCATTTTGAGTTATAGAGAGTTCTATTGTATAATAATAAGAATATCTTGCATAGAAGTTCACCTTGACTTATTGTATTGGTAGCTTTGGTATTTTGTTTATTATTCAAACAACTTTCATATTTAATAAATGTGTATCCTTGATCCCGAAGTAAGGTCGTGTTTACATTCAGTTCATACAGGAATTTTTATTCTTAATGCATAAGGTGAATGAAAAAAGTTTGATTGTTTGATTGATTTGATTATTGAATTGCGTGATTTGTATTTATTGCATACGAATCACGCAATTCCGTACACTTACTTAAATAAAGGTGATGCAAAAATTTAATTATAAAAACTGTAAATAATATTAAAAATAATTCTGCTTAAATTATCGGATGCTCTTAAAAAAAAAAAAAAAAAAACATTTTTCTTTGAAGTAACAGTTTATTTCTCGTTAGTTTACGCTTATTTCTCGTTAGTTTACGCTTATTTTTATCATGTTTTCGAAATTTAAACATTGAAAATTCCATAAAAAGTATTCAAAAATTGATAATAGCACGCAATTGCGTGTATCTTAAATGGAAAACCCATGACATATACTTGAACTATAAGAAGTTATAAAAGATATTTAGAAAGAAAAAACAAAATTTCAAATTTAGAAATGAGAAATTACTGAATTTATTTCCCATTTCGTTCTTTAAAATATAAAGTTATTTATCTCAAATTTTGAAAGAAGTAAATAGTAAATTTTAGTTTTTTTTTATTACATATAAAAATATTTATATGGGTCTTAAATGATAATAAATTAATTATTGGTGCATTCGAATTAGTAATTTAAATATATCAATAGTTATTACTCGAATTTCGCTTGAAAATATTTAATTTTCGAACAATTTTGAGGATTTGAAACAATCGAATTTTAAATAAAACATTAGAAAGTCGAACGTTTTCTCTATTATTTCATCTTGTTTAGAAGTTAAAATCTGTATAATAATTATTGCTAGTGACCAAATCATTAACGGATAATTCATTCTATTTTTATTTTTTGAATAGATTCGATAAAAGCCATTCACTTCAGCAGATGATTACGGCATCCATTCTATTGTATTTCCAGTACTTTAATTTTTCATTTTCTGAAAGACATCGGCTATAAATTAATGTCGTCTTTTAACAATATTTTCTTCGGAAATTACAGATTTTAATACCGAAATTATTAAGAAGATCTCTTTTGTCGATTAATTTCTTATCACTTAAAGATTTATTAAATAATTAAAAAGCAATGCAGCTGTAATTTGAACTTGACAAGATGAATAAACAGAGAGAACTTAATTAGCTGTAATACTTAAAAGCGGCCATCAGGCCTTCTAATTAAGTATTAAAGAAGGTCAAATGGTCTGGTCTTCAGAAGGCCTGATCACCCTGAAGGCCATCAGACCCTTTGAGGATCCGGATTGAATCCTGACGAGCAACTACTCGGAATTTTTCGGAGGAGGGATAACGTCGGGTCCTTATCCCTCATTATACTTTCGTTCCCATTATAGACCTAGCCGAACTCAGCCTTAATATGATTAAAAAGGCTTTGTTGTAGTGTCTACACGGCAAAAAAACAGTAAAAAGGAATACCTAATTTAAATGGTTTTATTTTACAGTGTAATCCCATATTTATGAATTTTTACAGTAAAACCTGTTCAAAAATGGGAAAATCCGTAGGAACAAAGCTATTTTCTGTGTTTAAAAAAAACCTGTTTAATTAAAACGGAAACCTGCTAAACCGGAAAAACATTCGATACTGCACGAGTCCGGTTTACACAGGTTTCACTGTATATGCTTATTATTGTCGACTGAATCATCGTTCTTCAATTGATTCTTTTGGCATTCATCTCCCATAATTTCTCTCTAAATTTTTTCTATTAATTTCAAGTAATTCAATACATTTGAAAAACTAAACTTGTTATTATGTAATAAAGCTAGAATGCCCTCATTTTAAAATTAGATTTTTAAAATAATTGTCACACACTAAATATTTAATAGTATAAAATACATTACTAGGAAAATTTTAATATAACGCTTAATATAGCAAATAAATTGATCCACTCTGTAAATTCTTAATTAATTTTAAAATTACTTTTACTATTTTCTATTATATATTAAATAATTCCTTTAAAAACTTTAATAATAATTAAAATTTTCGTTGTAAATTAACAAATTAAGATCGGTAATTAATAAAATGATATTTTAATTATAAAATATACTTTATTTGAGATATTATATTTAAAATTTTAAGTAAAAAAATCAAAGATTTCTATATGTTTTCGTCTGACCTAGATTTTCTGGTTCGTTTCAACCATTTCTACGTAAGCAACAACAGTATTATAGATAATTCCCCTAGAGATAAACAGGCTTGTTAATTTCTTTGCTTCTACAATACACTAAAGGTTCACAGTCAATATTTGGAATTAAAGAAAATACATTTACAATTTCTATTGAAAATAGAAACGAAACAGTATTATCGATTCCCCTGTAAAGAGGCGTTTTCCTTTAGACAGCAGAGTAATACAAACAAACATAATTATGCGGCTTATAAAACCTTTCTAGACAAAAAATAAAGAAAATATATTCGATAATTTTATATAATTTAAAATATATAATCAATACTTAATATTATTATTAAATATTACTTAATTATCAAACGTCTTACGTTTTCCTTACATCAAACATATGCTTTAATTGTAGTAAAGTATTATACAGAAAAGATTTAAAAATTAAATATAAAAATCATGATACATAATATTATATCTCTTCTCATATGTTACCGAGTCAATAATTAGATCTGTAACAGGTGGTGTAGTGTCTGTCTAGTATATGCTTAATACGTGATATTTTAAAGGGAATAATAATAATAATAATATTTAACGTATAGAACTTACAAAAAATATGATGTTGAATACCATCAGAAGAATCTTCATGCAGTTTATAGCTACTGTTGTTTGTAGTCGTTTACCCATTTTTAGATGCTTTTCCTCTAGAGTACGGTAGAGTATAGTCTGTAGAATGAATATGGCGTGACTGTAACAAACGATACTTGATGGCGTCAGAGTAGCAGCTCAGTCTAGCGATAATGCATAATATACAGCTTGAATGTACAGTACAAACATTATTAATAAAAATTGAGAACAGTTATTTGCATAATTTTTTTCCCTTCGAAATAACTGGAAGGAATAATTATTCAATTTTTTTTTCTTTTTTGCTATAAAGTCTAATGCACGTTCATCCCTATTTATCTTTTTCTTCTTCTTTTTTAATCCATTTAAAAAAGAAAATGTATTGCGTGACAGAAAGATAATAGTCAGAATTGACCTTCAGTAAAGTTTCTTTTAGTGGCTTCACTTTAATTAATTATTTTTTTTAGTTGCTTGATTGAGTTTTTTTTCGTGTAAGTATGATGTGCCACATCTAATATCGATTATCGCTATAGCAACGTAAGGTTAATGTGACAGGGTGGAGGTGGATGATGCATTAGAAGGTGTAGTGTTTTCGTGTCGACGGGTAAGGAATATGACTGGATATATCATTAAAGAAACTATAAAAAGTAAGCTTATCGTTCTCAACTCTGATTTAAGTAATATAAAAAAATTTTTAATTACTTTTTTGTAGAAAAGATGCCGACATCACCCAATTGGTTTAGGATAAAGCGTAAACCTGTTAAAACACCCATAATAAGACTTCACGGAGCACCTACTATAGAACCGTCTAAGAAGAAGAAAGTAAGTTGCAACAAGTTGTTGCACATTCCTGAAAGAACTGTAGAATCACCTCCCAGGAATAGGAGGAGATCATTATCGTTGTCTTCATCCGGAAGAAAATCGCCTGTAGATCCACGATACTTATCATTATCTGATGTTAGAAAGGAAAGTGGATGGAAAGAAAGGAAGAACGAATTTGTTTTCTCGGCTTCTAAACGCCAATCTTCTAGAAAATTATTGAAAACTGCCGAAGGAATCAGAAATTTAACATTAGATCCTACACCAAAGAAAAAGTTTCAGATGTGAGAGGAATAATTATATGTTTATTTTTTTTTAATTCATATTTTTCTTACATAATATGAGTGTTATATAAAGCGAAATTTATCTTTTATCTGTTTTTAGGAATAATAGTTTTAAGGTAAATTTTTTTATATTTTTAAATATAAATTTTAATCGTTTTAACCGAAATAAATTTTGTGTAATTATTATTGTGTTAAATCACGATAGCATTGCTCGGCTGAGGATATTAGGAACATGAAAATTGAGCAAAACACAATTATGGATATCCATAAGAAGCGAAATATGTTTCGAGGTAAGATTGAATCTAGTTTTTTTTCCCCTGTTAAATATTAATTTTGATAACAAAAATTAAATTAAGTTGATTAGAATGATGTTTATAAATCAAATCGCATCTGAAAGTTTGCTTTGTTTACTTTTTATCGATCTCTTCCATAAATTCGCTATTTATCTAGCGATAAAATTCGTTTTTTTAATACAAAAGACCATAAAATATGCACGTTAATATCCTTTGAATCAATTTTATTCCATAAATTCATCAATAAAACTTCAATGTTAATGAACAAAGGCTATATTAAATTAATATTAATTAAAGCTACAATGTTTTAGGATACGGAAATTAATTCAGAACAGAAAATATTGTAAATTTTACTTTGAAATTTAGATAAATAGTTAAAGTCCGAAATGATTTAATATCTTATTTAAATATTTTACAGAACAAAAAACTAATAAACAATCTTCCATATTCAACCACGATTTCGATAACGGTAGCGTGAGTAGCGACGAATTTTCTTTAAAAGCTTATCCACCCAGCCTTTCGACAGATTCCATTGATACATCCCCCATATTTATAACACATTCGATATAAATTTAACAGGTAAATTCATAAAAGTAATAATTATTTATATATAGTATAATAATAATAAGCTAATGTAAACAATAAATTGTACTTTCTTTTTTTTTTAAATAGATACAGAGAAGAAAACAGTTTAATTATTTTTTTTAGTTGCTTGATTGAGTTTTTTTNGTAGCGTGAGTAGCGACGAATTTTCTTTAAAAGCTTATCCACCCAGCCTTTCGACAGATTCCATTGATACATCCCCCATATTTATAACACATTCGATATAAATTTAACAGGTAAATTCATAAAAGTAATAATTATTTATATATAGTATAATAATAATAAGCTAATGTAAACAATAAATTGTACTTTCTTTTTTTTTTAAATAGATACAGAGAAGAAAACAGTTTATTGAATTTCTTTCTCATTAGATGGCAGCACTATCGTTTAATTTTTAAAATATAAATAAATTATTAATGGAAGAGAATAAATAAAACAACGAAAAATATTTAAGTTTTATAAACAACCTTACGTTATAAAATTTATAATAAAATTTCGATATAGAAAATATTTAAAAAATAAGTAAACATTTTTTAAATTAATTCATTAACATACCAATTTCGATGATGATGATGATGATAAAATTTATCATCTTATCAATTTTCATAAATGTTGGCATTTCACTGATCTTCCATCACAAAGGTAAATGTTCTTCCTGTAACGAGAATAAAATATTTTTAAAGAAATTAATGTTAATGTAATATTTAAATAATTCAAATTTTCCAAAAAAACATTTTTGGTAAAATTAATTTTATGAATTAATAAAAATTATTCAACCATAAATTCTATAATGTGTTATCGTTATTCAGTATCCATAGAGATGAAATTCGAATATATACATAAGCATTAATCGATTTTCTGTTCGATAGATCTATATTATAAGTAAAAAATTCCAGGTTTTGTTTTAAATTTAAACAAAATTAATTAAAGATATTTATATGATATAAATGAGATTTTGTTAAAGAAAATGTGTTCTACTGACCCTTCAAATGTTCAAGGTGATGTGTATATTTGAATATAAGCTTTGTTACATAAAAGTTATGTAGGACATGTATGGAAGTAATGAAAAATTGGGTCGTGACGTTGAAATTTGCATCTTATCAATTTACAAAAATGATAATATTACACCAATTTTCTAAAGAATCTATAGAATTTCTATAGAATTATCTCTATAAAATCAATTTTTTTAAAATGTATTAACAGGAATGGCGATAATAAATACGATCTACAGCCAAGAATTTTTTATGAGTTGTATAGTTAATTAGATAGTAATTAGTTAACTAGAAGTAATAAAATTTAGTCAATGTCAATGTTTGGCCTTAAAACTTGCAACTCAAGATATCAATATTAATTATGCCTTCGTATATTTTCAAAATATATTGAAATTTTGTTTAAAATAGTGTAAAAGAAAACAATTACACGCATTACAAATACATAAACAACACATCTTTTATAATAAACTTATGAAAACGTCTCTATAGTAGATTTAGTATAGCCATTTTGTAAGAAACTACCCTTTATAAAGTAGTATTTTTTAAAAAAAGAACAGTAAAAAAGACAACACTTCGTATTAACGTCGTTATAAAATAATTCATCTACGTAACAAACTTGTAATTTTTATATTTTTCCTTTTTTTTAAAAAAAATTTTCCTTCTTTTAGTGATGTATATTATGTTTGTTTAGTACAACTGTATGTATTTATACGTCCCTGAAACTAAGTTACGTAAGAATAATTATTGGCTCAGGTTTTTAAATTTTGATTTTCTTCTTCAGATAATGACGTAAAGTAGGAAAATTGTTTAAAATAAAGTTCTAAGCAATTTAACAAAGTCAGCTTGAGATTTTTTTTCTTCTTTCGCATTTTTGCCTTTCATAAATTTCAAGGTCAAACGTCATCACTATAATTCGCGCAAAAAAATATGATGTTTTCCTTTATCGAGAAGAATATAATTTATTACTTTAAAAAATCTGGCTGTTTTACCTATAAAAACTGTAATAATTTTATAGAATATGAAGATTTTTTAAAACAAAATACAAATCTTTTATATCTAATTATGAATTTAGATTAAGTTTTTAAATAAAAAAAAATATCTAAATATTCTGTTAATTAAACAATTATATTCGACTGTTCCTATAGACGTGTAATCTAATTCTCAGTTGTAATGTATTGTACAATTGCCATTTATATACTTATACCTTCACATCATATTTTGCAATGTCTATAAAGTTGCTTTTTTGTAACCCTGGATGTGGCCTTTTGCTTATCCTCTACTGAATACAAAGAACAAATTAGAATTCACCTTTAACTCAGTAAATTTAGAATAAGATAAAACAGATATAGTTTTTAATGGAGTTTCGTATATTGGAACGGTTAACGTAAAGACGGTTACTAAAAAGGTTTAATATAAAATTAAATGAAACGTAATTTATGGATTAGTTCTATTTAACAAAGTTTAAAATAGGCTCAAAATGTGGTCTTTATATTGTAATTTTAAGATATTTTCATTCATTTTACGTAAAAGGAAAAATTCATTTCTGCGAATTGAATTTTTCCTTTTATGTAAAAGAAAATCACTTATTCAAATCTTAAATTGTAAATTGAATATCAGCATTAAAAGTTTAATAAAGGAAAACTAGATAATAAACTGTACTAGTTTCTATCCTTCTTTTCCTTCTATTATATTTACTAATGTCATAATTCATTTCCTTAAAACATTCCTCGCAAAACTAATTTATAAATGTTATTTATAAATAAGCTTTAGTAAACTTTATAAATTTTATTATCACTGTTCGAATTTATGGAAATGTGAATTAGGATTTAAGAATAAAATCACACAGTAACTGTGCAAACTTATAAAAAAAAAAGTACTTTAATATTTGATAAAATTATAACTGATCTAAAAATCAACCAACGTTGACAAACACAAATAAGCTGGCCGCGTACAGTTTTCTGGGTTTTCTTTACGTGTCTAACACCTAAATATGAGCCAATTTCGCACAAAAGACCTCGCGGGTGACACTCACCTGTTGGCAGATCGCCCGTGTGTTGCCTTATCTTATATCATCAAACCAGTCCAATTCAATTTGATGTTTACGAAACGAAAATTAAATTTTATTTATTTAAAAAATTATGAAAATCCAGTGAAATTTTAAAGGGTGTAATAATTTATTATTTTACGAATCCTCTATTGAAAATCTCAAAAATCATTTGCAGGTCATGTTAAAAATTTCAGGTCACCATTATTTTTTTTGTTTTGTGTGTGCGTGTGTTTGTGTTTTTATGGAAGTTATAAATCATTCTATGATCGAATAGAACTTTTTGTGTACAAATTAGAGTTATGCAAAAATATTTTTAAAAAAATTAACTATACTTCTTCTATTACAACATGAACACAAAAACAGTCTACTTATAGGTAGGCTTATATGAAATAAGCATAGATACGTCATTTAGATCAATACTTTTTCAAATTCTAAACTTTAAACAAATGTAACATTAAATTAATTAATACATAAGTAAATAATAGCATAAATATTTAGTTATGCAATAGGAAAATCATTAAACATAATAAGTTTTTTTTTTTTTATAATTGATCAAGTCAAACTAGCTGCACTAGTCCACAATAATAAACTTTCTCAATTATTATTCCTGAAATGTGTTAAAACTATTTCGCAAGACAAATAAAAAAGAAATTTTTAACAATTTTCTCTTTGTTTTTCTGATAATTAAACAATGGAAATAATTTTCCTTCTTTTAAAAAGTATTAGTACAGTACATGAGTATTAAGAATTCTATATTCAATTTTTAAGGAAAAGTATTTAGTGTATTTAATCAGTTCCCAATTTTTTAAAATGTATTCTGATTTTAAAAAAATTTGAATGCACACTTTTATTTACCTGAAAAAAAGAAGAATTTAAAAGAAATCACAGTTAAAATTTACCATTAAAATATTCTACATAATTACAATCAAAAGCTGCTTGTCTAGAGAAAAAAATAACAACATTGTTCAATTAAAATTCAAGTAAACATATTATTATTATTATTATTATTTTATTCAAAAGTTATGACAGATAGAAATTATCTGTAGTCTACTGAAGGCCATTTGGGAAATTCATTAGCCTATAGGAGAACCCAACTTCACTTATAACACTTCAGCCTTATTATTTATTTACTTATTTTAACAAAATTTGTCTTATTTGCCTTAAAATATATTAATCTATATTGTGTTTATAATTAAAATATTAAGATCATATAAGTTAAAGTAAAACTTATATTTTTAAAATTGCAACTATTCATATTTGTGAAAGAATAAGAAATATTCTATTTGTGCTTTGAATAAAATATTTTTAATAAGTTATGCTTAAGAGTCCATGACATAAGGAGAGTACAGACCTGACTCTTGACAGTTGTTCTACGAAACAATATAAATATGAGAACTTTTTTATTTTATACAAGACAAATAATAATAATTTTGTTTGTTCTTCCACTAGAACGATTAATTTTAAATAAAAGTATCAGTATACTATTTATTTTAGACAGTGTAAAAGTTTAGTATATCCAATTACTCATAATTTTACAACGGTGCAAGATAATATGTGTAACTCTGTTTCAAAAATTTTCACTTACAAAAAAGAAATGGCTGATTGTAGTTAGACGAGAAAGAATATGTTGTCCAATGGCATCACTTATATGAGATATATTTAACTAAAATACAGTCGACCCCCTATAACACTGTTGATAATTCCGTTTTATATGAATTCCATGTTGTACGAGTCACTTAGATTTTATAAATACGTGAACCGTTCACAGCCCGGCACACGTATGTGTAAAATCTAAGTGACTCGTACAACGTGGAATTCATATAAAACGGAATTATCAACAGTGTTATAGGGGGTCGACTTGTAATAGATTTTAAATTTTAATTTGGTAGAGGTAAGACCTACATTTATATTATTTATCCAATTATTTAACCAAAATAATGACTGTAAATCTTAAGCGATTGTTTTTATAATTCATTTGCGACTCCGTAATTTTTTTTTAATCTTTGTGTTACTTTTTATTTTGCTTATAAATATATTTTAATGTTTTTTTTTTTTCTTTTATGTTCGATGTTAAATTTGCTTACACAAATTCAAGTGGCAGACCTAAATGTTTCGTACCCTGAAGTAGGATGTCTAGACGTCAAAGATTTCCTGGGACTGTCCCAATTTTATCTGTTTTTAATAGTATATTTGATTGTAAAATCAGTCTTTGAATAGAGCAATTTCTTTTATTAATGCATCAATATGATATCACCAATTTATGGATAAATAAATAAATAAATAAATTTTAAAAAATAACCGAAGTTTTAGACCCCATTTTTAATGATTCTGAAATATGTCCCCGGTTGGATTGTAAATGATATGGACCGTCTACCTTAATAGCTTCATAGTTTCATAGTATTTTCTATTGCCTAACTACAATATTTTCTAACAATTTGAAATTTAAAAATTATTTTAAATATTTTATTCTAAACCATCGTGAATGTGGATGAACTATGACCCTAAAAATTGAAGAGTTTTTACCATGTTTTGCTTAAGAACTAAACTTTCTAGTTACGTCATTGCCGTCTTTGCTCAGGAAAATGATATAAGGTAACATTCTCA